GGAATTATGAAATTCTAGCAGCTGAAATCTAAGATGTAATAAGCTCTTCCTATATAACGGGGCGTCTGTTGGCCTGCTGGCCACCCTCTGCAATGGGACCCCGGTCCTAGCAGTAAAGGCACGGACGTTAAACCTTTTCTCGGAAACATACACACACACACTGCCCTGACCGTCGGCTGACATTTTCCCACACTTATAGTCTAAACGAATTAGCATTTATCCATTTCGGATAGCAATGAGTTAGTTACGTAATTAATGTCGTCACAATAATATGGTGTATGGGGTGTTCATGGAGGGGTAGCACCTCTGGTCGGAGGACACGCCGTACTCCCTCAGGAGTAGTTCGTCCACCTTTGGTCCTCACTTGACACTCAGCTCTCACCTGTGGCTCCAAGTAGCTATAGCATGCACAGCGGCCACACCATGGGCAACGGCTTCGACTGGTCGGCTGAACCAGGTAAGGGTAGCTGATGGGTTCTGAACCATCGGTGAGTTTTCGGCTTGTCACCCAATGCACATGAAGACTGGATTCGGTGGACTGCGCGGAGGAATCACCATGTGGTCAACGGGCAGAAAGGCGATTTCCAGCAATGCTTTGTGGACAGCATAGAGCACGGCAAGACACGTAGAACGCCCTGGTCATCCACTGCATCCAGCTTCCATTCCAGCCATCTTGACTATGTCTTGCCACTGGAGCTAGGATGAGAGAGTGAGGTTGACGATGTGCAACTCTCCCTCACTTTAATCAAATGTCACCCATGTTATCATCCATTCCTTCACCCTAAGTCCTGCGGCGATGGGCTAGCTGCGAAACGGCAGGTGTGGATACACTGGCGGCCGCAGTGGCGAACCTGCACGCAGGCGGCTCAGGCTATAGGGTTGTCTTCCACTGATCTGAAGCAGCAGTGGTTTTCGGCAGCCACCTGGGCGACTGAGCAGTCCTTTTTAGGATAGCGCTGCTTACCTCCGTAGTCTGAGGAAGGGGCTAGAAAAGGTGCCCTAAAAAATGCCTGCTTCACCAATCCTGACAAGCTTACCATGGCTGGTGGGAATCCCGCTTATGTGGTCGAAATACAAAGAAAACCAGTAACACTCCACTTATTCTTGGAGCGTGGTACATACGTACCCTCATGGATCATACAGATGCCGACAGCCCCGAAAGGAGAACTGCCCTGATTGCCAAGGAGCTTGCTCGCTACAAGATCAATATAGCAGCTTTGAGTGAGACCCGGCTGGCAAAGGAAGGACAGATGACTGAAATTGGAGCAGGTTACGCCTACTTCTGGAGTGGGCGAAGAATAGACGGACGCCGCGAGTCGGGAGTTGGATTTGCTGTGTGAGAAACCTGGTGAATAAGCTATCCAACCTACCAAGAGGAATCAATGACCGGCTGATGGTGCTGAAGTTACCTCTGTCTGGGAAAAAGCAAGTCACATTCGTTAGTGCTTACGCACCAACAATGACTAACCCAGAAGACATCAAGGACAAATTCTACCAAGACCTGGAAGAGCTGACTGCTATAATACCAAAGTCAGACAAGCTGATCGTCTTAGGCGACTTCAATGACAGAGTTGGTACTGATTATGATTCCTGGAAGGGAGTCATCGGTAGATATGGCATTGGTAGCTGTAATAGCAATGGACATCTGCTCTTGAGGACATGTGCAACAAATGATCTCCTGATAACTAATACCGTGTTCCGCCTGTCCAAACATAACAGAACAACTTGGATGCACCCTCGCTCAAAGCACTGGCATCTAATTGACTATATAATAGTCCGTAGGAAAGACTGACAGGATGTCCGTGTAACCAAGGCTATGTGTGGCACCGACTGCTGGACGGACCACAGACTGCTCATCTCAAAGATGAACCTTAGGATTCGGCCCCCCAGATGTCCACAAGGCATCATGGTCCCAAAGTGCCTAAACATCTCTAGACTGAAAGACAGCGGCGTCCAACAATCAATTGCTGATGCCCTGGCATTTAAGCTGGAAGCCACTGGAACTGATGCTGATATAGAGCCCAGCTGGGCAGCTTTCAAACAGCTGGTGTACTCCACTGCCTCCGAGTTAATTGGCATCACCTCAAGAAAGCACCAGGACTGGTTCGACCAAAACTGTGGAGAAATCAAGGCATTGCTGGATGAAAAACATCGTCTCCATCGTGCCTACAGCAGTGACCCTAAGTCTGTAGCAAAAAAAGTTGCCTTCACCAAGATACGTCAGACTGTACAGATGAAGCTACATGAGATGCAGGACACATGGCTGAGCCAGAAAGCCGATGAGATCCAGGCCTTTGCGGACAGACACGATATGAAGAACTTCTACAATGCTCTTCAGGCTGTGTATGGCCCAGTCACATCTGGTTCAGCCCCTCTCTTGAGCGCAGATGGTAGTACTTTGCTCACTGATAAGGAGAAGATCCTTAATCGCTGGGCAGAGCACTTTGCTGATGTCCTTAACAGGCCTTCTTCTATCAACGAGGAGGTAATAAACCGCCTACCTCAGGTGGAGATCAACGAAAGCCTGGCAGATCCTCCAACAGTACTGGAAACTCAAAAGGCCACTGAATTGCTCTCCAACAGTAAAGTTCCTGGAGCTGATTATATTCCAGCTGAAATTTATAAATCTGGTGAACCCAAGTTAATTAAAAGGCTTACTGAAATGTTCTGTGAGATGTGGAAACAGAAACGTGTTCCGCAAGACTTCAAAGATGTATAGATGAATAATAGACGCAAGCGCAAGGGAAATCGCCACTCTTGTGACAACTATAGAGGAATCACTCTGCTCTGTGTTGGAGGAAAGGTCCTCGCCAGAATACTTTTAAGCAGACTCACACAGCACCTTGACCAAGGTCTCTTGCCGGAAAGTCAGTGTGGCTTCAGGAAGGGACGAGGTACTACTGACATGATATTTGCCGCCAGACAACTACAAGAAAAGTGTCAAGAACAGAATGTCCAGCTCTACACGGTCTTTGTGGATCTAACTAAAGCATTTGACTCTGTCAGTCGTGAGGGCCTCTGGAAGATTATGACCAAATTTGGCTGCTCAGATACCTTCATTGAAATGGTGAAGCAGTTCCATGATGGCATGCTTGCCAGAGTCCAAGATCATGGCAATTATTCACAGCCATTCGCAGTCACAAACGGTGTGAAACAGGGGTGCGTCCTGGCCCCCAGTCTCTTCAGCCTTATGTTCTCTGCTGTGCTGATTGATGCCTTTAGAGAAAATAATGTCAGGATCGACTTGCGCTACCGTTTTGATGGAAGGCTATTTAACTTGAGGAGGCTTCAGACCAGAACCAAGGTCCAGGTCGAGACCATTCGTGACTTTCTATTTGCGGATGATTGCGCCGTCAACTCGGGTACTGTGGCCAGACAGCCCGCCTCCATCACATCCATCTTATCTGCCTCTCTGAAGCATACAGGGCAGAGAAGGAGCAGTAAAATCAGCATAGTCTATGCTGGCTCATCTGATCCTGAGAAGCTGAAACATAGATATGAGGAGAGATCAGGATATGCGAGACTGCCACCGGCTGGCACCTATGTTGATTCGAACACACACACAGTCCCTGGAAGAGGAATTTCCCACTGAGAAAAGAATCCCCAGTAATTCCAATTTAGTTATCTCTCTTACAAGTGTAAATTAAGTTCACAACTCCCTTGTAAGAACTGGTCTCACAAAAGACAGACCAGCCCCATTTGGCATGACAGATAAGAAAGAGAAATACGTGACCCCATGAGTATATAAGATGGGCCCAGCACACACTCACTTTGAGTGTCATTCTACCCTCTACCTGCTGGTCGGGTTAGGTGTTTGACCTCCCGAGGTTCTATGGGGACGCCCACCTCGTATTTTGGTCTTTCCTAGGAATTGAGGGACCGGCCCTGGCCTGACATGCTGGAGTCGAGAGGCACAGAAGGGGGTAAAAATTGTACCTGGATGTGGTCCTCTGTCTTAAGTGTACACATAGAAAGAGTAAGCTGTTACTTGGTACCATTATTTCTATTTTTCTATCTTTATCTTCTTTGTAACCATTTTTAAGATCCATATTTTGCTAGCAGTATCTATATTTTGCTAGTAGTTAAGAAATAGAGCAATAGCCATTGTAACCATATGATTTATAAGCTTCTTTAATAAACCTGTAACTGTTTAAGCTTTAACCTGACTCTTTCAGTTGCTGTAACAGAACCAAGCACAATTTAAAAGAACTTCAGCCGGTCTTAAGAGACAGATATAGGGAGCCCTGACCGTTGGCTGACAGGTACGCAAGCAGGCATGCAACATTGCATGAATCTATTTTCCGCAGCGTGCATGAGCTTTGGCCTCACGATATCCACCAAAAAAATCCAAGGTTCTGCATCAGCCCACTCCTGGCTCTGACTACACTGAGCCATCCAACACTGTCAATGGCCAGAAGCTCGAAAATGTGGACAGGTTTACATATCTTGGCAGCACTCTATCAAAGGCAGCCAACATCGACGAGGAGGTGAATACTACAATAGCCAGAGCCAGTGCAGCTTTTGGAAGGCTTTTGCTGATGATTGTTCTGCCTGGCGCAGATGAATACATGATGGTGCAATAGCCCACAAACAAAAGAGACTGCGTTATGCTGCAGAGAAACGTCTTCTTCGCAAGTCTGGGGCTGGTATCTTCTCTTCTCCCGGTCGGCAGTCCGATCTTTCATGTCCCCACTGTAACTGTCAATTTCAGGCTTGGATTGGACTAATCAGCCATCTCCGAACCCACTCCCAACTAAACTGATGACATTGGGTGGTCCTCATCGACCTCGATGGACGAACGAATGTCACAACAATGTACCCATTTCCCTCCCTTCCTCCTGTTTCCCCAAATTTAGTTTTGACTATAATCCTCTAAACATGTAATACTCTACAGTATATAGGAATTCTGTCACTCTTACCTTATCTTTCCTCTTCTTAATTGGTCACTTGCCACATCTTGCAGATCATGCTTCAAGGAATTTTTGTAAAGAAACACTTACCTCTGTAGTGGTTCCAAAGTCACCAGATGGGCTATATGTACTGGTATCTGGTGGAGCTGTCCCAACACTACTTTTAATTGGAGAGGTAGGAGGAGCAGGCCCTGTAATGGATTCTGTGTAGACAGAAGACTGATACAGCATCCCTTTTTTCTGAATCTTATTCCACACTTTGCTCATGGTATCAGCCAGTTCATACAGAAGCTGTACCTAAAGAAAAAAAATGATGGAGTTCTTCGTAATTAGGTGTAGGAAAACTCATCCAGCCATCAATATCCTCCAGTGCTATTTAAACTACACATCAGAGCTTAATACTTTACATTGTATAACATCCTGATAAGAGAATATGCTACTATAAAAAGAACTAATAATAATTACAAAATAGTGGTTTTGCTCAGAAAGCACTACTTGTCTAAACATATAGTAGAAAATCAAACTTCAATATGTGATTCATAAAAATACAAGCAATGTATCTGGTCTTGTAAAATTTTAGTAATAAAGAAAACTATCTAACTTCTTAATTATCTCACAGACATAATGACTGCCCTTTTACTTGATTCTTATGAAAAGAGAAACTCACATGAAAAAGGAAACATGAACGTTCTCAAGTACAGACTATGTAAGAGAGACTCCTTTTAACAACATTAAAATGACAATTTCATGCTACATATGAAACAGTTCTATATATGTAGCAAGAACATCAACTATCCAGCTCATTAGCTTCCTGGGACAAGTCATCCCAATATTCAGAAAGCATACTGTTTAACTTGCACGTTGTTTGACTCAGTTTTTATATATTTACACAAGCTTTCATAAATAAGCATTAATCATGACATTTGTATGACAACATATTGCCTTATACTATATAAAACAAGTCCAGAGAATACCGCAAACAATACGTGAGTAGACCCACAGCTGGATACCATACCCAGCTGCCATTATAAAAAATTGTCTTATTTATAAGAAGTTTCAGCCTCAGGACACATCCAGTCGATGAAGCTGGCTTCTTATGTGGGCAGAACAGATGCAGAAAAACATTGTTGTCAATCTATATTTGATATAAAACAGTACTTGATTTTGTGCATGTGAATGTTTGATGAAGTCTCAAAGAATATGCTGGAGTTTTATAAAAAACTTAATTCATTTGGGTTTTTCTTTTGAAGATTCAAGACTTACAATGAGCAGGTCATATAATTTTCTGACAATTTTTTGTTGCACTTATGATTAATTGCATTTATGTCTTCTTACATTAAGAGTAATAACCAAACGGTGATGGTGGTTCTGGCTATAGAAGAAATTTATTTTTGTAAAGTTCAAAATCTATCATGTCCCCAGGACTTTGATATGCTGTGATAGTTATTTTTTACTTTAATTACTATAACTAACCACAATTATTAAACTGTGTTATTTAAAAACAATTTCATTCAGAATTTTATACTTGTTTCCATGAAATTTAAAGTAACACATTTCAGACTGATTAAGTTGTATCTTATTAACTGGGGCTGACTCTACACTGGCAAAAGGAACAACCCCACAACTTTCCAATATTAAAAAATGAATTATCTGAGCACGAGTGATAGTTTAATCATTTCACAGAGTTTACTGGGATACTTGGACAGGACCAACAGTACATTATTGGAAACGGGGAAAAAAAGATTGGTCCAAAGACTAGTGGATAAGTTAAGCAATTGCAGTATCCAATTGTTCATAAGAAAGCAGAAGCAGAGTGTGTGAAGAAATGATGACACTGCCTTGTGCATGGCTACAACCACACATAATAGAGGCAAATTTTGTTACCAGAATGTCCCAGAGCTGAGGAGTTGTAGAAAAGTTTCAGCTTTCAATAAGGCAAACAGTGTTTTCCAGTATTAAGAGGATACTATTTTAAATGGACCTGGTTAGTTATATACAGTTCCGCCATCTGAGCAGACAACATGTATGTCAGCAGTAAGAGACTGGGTCATAATGAACAAAAATTGCTAAAAATGTGGACAAAACCAGAAGGAACTATATTGTTCATATTAGAAAGAAAAGCTAAATTCTATTGAAACAAAATACAGGACTATATAGCACTTTAAAGACTAACAAGATGGTTTATTAGATGATGAGCTTTCATGGTTTTTTAAATTTAAAAAATTTAAATTGTATCCTTTGGTATATATGGTTGTGACTATTTTCTTCCACTATTTGATCTGAGGAAGTGGGTCTGGCCCACGAAAGCTCATCATCTAATAAACCATCTTGTTAGTCTTTAAAGTGCTACATAGTCCTGTATTTTG